CTTTGAACTGCTCCAACTTTTTTTTTTTTTTTACTGCCTTAATGAATGGTATCAGTATCCATTCATTGGCCAATCCAGAAACCTGGTCATTATCTTTGTATCTCTCTGCTTCTCTCCTCACATTTAATTAAGAATCAGATCTAGCCGGGCTTGGTGGCTCAGCCTGTAATCCCAGCACTTTGGGAGGCTGAGGTGAGTGGATTGCCTCAGCCCACGGGTTCGAGACCCACCTGGGGAACTTGGTGAGACCTCATCTCTACAATAAATCAAAAAATTAGCTGGGCGTGGTAGTGTGCACCTGTAGTTCAAGCTACTTGGAAGGCTGAGGCAGAAGGATCGCTGGAGCCCAGCAGGTCGAGGCTGCAGTGGCCGGGAGTGGCTACTGTACTCCAGTCTGTGTGACAGAGTGAGACTTCAACTCAAAAAAAAAAGAATCAGATCTGATAAGTGGGACCTCATCAAACCAATAATCTTCTGCAAAGCCAAAGAAACCATCAAGGAAGGAGGGAGACAGCCCACAGACTGGGAAAAAATATTTGCTAACTGTATGTCTGACAGAGGCCTAACATCTAGGATCTACAAGGAACTTAAAGGTGCTGAAAAGAAAAGAACAAACAACCCCATTACCAAGTGGGCAAAAGATATGAATAGACACTTCTCAAAAGAAGGTATATGAGCAGCCAACAGATACATGAAAAAATGGTCAGCCTCAGTAGTCATCAAGAAATGCAAATTAAAACCACACTGAGATACCACCTAACTCCAGTCAGGATGGCCTTCAACAATAACTTAAAAAACAACAAATGCTGGAGAGGATGCAGTGAAAAGGGAACACTTCTATACTGTTGGTGGAAGTGCAAACTAATACAACCTCTGTGGAAAACAGTTTGTTGATTCCTAAAATTCTAAAAATCTACCTTCCATATGACCCCGCAATCCCCCTACTGGGAATATACCTGGAGAAACTCACATCACTCTATGAAAAAGATACCAAGCCGGGCTCAGTGGCTCAGCCTGTAATCCCGTGCTTTGGGAGGCTGAGGTGAGTGGATTGCCTGAGTCCACGGGTTCGAGACCCACCTGGGCAACTTGGCGAGACCTCATCTCTACAATAAATCAAAAATCAGCCGGGCATCGTAACGCATGCCTGTAAGTCCAGCTTCTCCGAAGGCTGAGGCGCAAGGATCGCCGGAGCCCAGCAGGTGGAGGCTGCGGTGGCCAGGAGCGGCCACTGCACTTCAGTCTGGGTGACAGAGTAAGACTCCAACTCAAAAAAAAAAAGATACCTGAACACACATGTTTATCGCGGCATTGTTCACAATAGCAAAAACATGGAACCAACCGTGCTACCCATCAAAAGAGGATTGGATAAAAAAATGTGGTATATATACACGATGGAATATTATATGGTCATAAAGAAGGACAAAATTATGAACTTCACGGAAACCTGGATGGACTTAGAATCTATAATACCGAGTGACCTATCACTAAACAAAGAACTAAGTACCACATGTTCTCACTTATACGCGGACCTTGAACAATTATGGTAATACTGTAAGAAAAGTGTTGGCAGTAGTGGGAATCTGCTGAGGGAGTGGGGGGCACACCTCATCAACAAGGGTACATGCATAATGATCATTTGTATACCTAACCCTGAATTGTACCCCACATCTTTAAAAATTTTTCTTAAATAAAACATAAAAAAAGGATCAAATCTGCTGACATTGGCTCATGCCTGTAATCCCAGCACTTTGGGAGGCAGATGCAAGAGGATTGCCTGAGTCCAGGAGTTCAAGACCAGCCTTGGCAACTTGGTGAGATCTCTCTATAGTGAATTTTTAAAAATAATAATAAATGGGCATAGTGACACACGCCTGTAGTTCCAGCTACTTGGATGACTGAAGCAGAAGGATGGCCTGAGCCCAGTGGGCCTAGGCTGTGGTGGCTGTGAGCATAATACTGCAGTCCAGTCTGGGCAACAGTGAGACTCCTACTCAAAAAAAAAAAAAATCAAACCTGACTAACTCTACTTACATTCTTCATTCTCATTTCTTTTGCCATCATAATATTTGCAGGACGACTCATAGCTATTTCATCTTGGGTGAGTGAGTTTTGGTAATTTGTGTTTTTCACAATTCATTCCATGAAATTTACTGTTTCATCTACATACTGGAATGACTGTTTTATCTATGTGTTCGGAGTTTTTCATAGTATTCACTAATTATTCTCTTAATATCTGTAGGGTCTCTAGCAACAAATTTTGAAGGATCCTCTGCCTCAAGTTTTGTCTACATCAAATGGAGTGAATATTTCAAAGCACATATGATCATGTCTTCATTATCTTAATATATCTTCAAAATAGCTTTATAAGATTAGCAAAGAGGCCACTGATTTATCCACTACAAGAATTATTTTCATATAATCTTTCATTGTTTTTTGGAGATATAATGTAACATATATAGAAGATAGAATATCGTGAGTGGATTGCCTGAGCCTGCGGGTTCGAGACCCACCTGGGCAACTTGGTGAGACCTCATCTCTACAATAAATAAAAAATTAGCCGGGCGTGGTAGCGCGCGCCTGTAGTTCCAGCTACTCGGAAGGCTGAGGTGGAAGGATTGCCGGAGCCCAGGAGGTTGAGGCTGCGGTGACTGGGAGCGGCCGCTGCACTCCAGTCCGGGTGACAGAGTGAGACTCCAACTCAAAAAAAAAAAAAAGAAGATAGAATATCATTTTCTTAGACAGGATAACTTATTCTATAAATGTTAATTCTGCTCATACTAGCTCCTTAATTGCCTTAATACAAGGCGATTTTAATCAACTGGAAAAAAAGATTTTAAGTGATATTTCCAAATACCCTCAAATAACAAATAGTCAAGAAAGTAAGAAGAATGAATGATAATGACCTTATTCTGTCAAATATCAAAATATACTATTAATAATTAAAATATGAAAATACTGTCTGAAGACCAGGGAAAAATATCACTAGGGAATATAACAAGTCTAGACATTTATACTTAACCTGCATTTGTATGGTTTTTTTTTTTTAATCAGCTTGAGGAAATCTTTGAAGATGTGTTATATTTGTAGGATATTAAGGAAGAAAAATATAAGTTCCTACTTGAGGAATGTTTAAAAGAATAGCTGCTAAGTTAATGGGCCAAATTACTCAGTGTTGTCAACTCAATTAAATCATGTTCAAACAAAATTTTAAAAGATTTTTTTTTTGAGTTGGAGTCTCACTCTGTTGCCCAGGTTGGAGTGCAGTGGCACACTCATAGCCACCTCAGTCTCGACCTCCTGGGTTCTGGCAATCCTTCCACCTCAGCCTTCCTAGTAGCTGAGACTACAGGCATGCACCACTACGCCCGGTTAGTTTTTTTGATTTATTGTAGAGATGAGGTCTCACCAATTGCCCAGGCTGGTCTTGAACTCAGGCAATCCTCTCACCTTGGCCTCCCAAAGTGTTGGTATTATAAGCATGAGCCACTGTGCCTAGCCGATATTTTTTAACTTGAAAAATATTTTTAATGTTTTTCTGAGTTCAGTATTATGTAATTCAATGACAGAATTAGTTGCCCAGTATAGAACTGGGTCTCAAAATTGAAAAAAAATCATTTTGTTGAGTTTACTTTTATATTTCTTTAATAGCTTTTATTTTTAAATTTTAAATTGAAGAATTATAGTTGTCTAAATTTATAGAATACAAAGTGATGTTATGATTTATGAATACAATAGTGAATAATCAAATTATGTGAATTGACATATCAATAATCTAAAATACTTAACAATTTTTTTGGTGAGAACATTGAAAATTTATTTTTTAGAGATTTTTGAAATGTACAGTATATTACAGGCATATCTCATTTTATTGCACTTTGCTTAATTGTGCTTTGCAGACGTGTATTTTACAAATTGAACCCTGCATTGAGCAAGTCTATAGACATGATGTGTCTTCTTTTTTCTTTCAACAGGTATTTATTAAAACTTTATGTATCAGATAATGGAGAAAACTGAGTGAATAAGACAGATACGTTTCCTATTTTTATGGAACTTCCACTTTAGCAGGGATAATAATCTAGTAGTAAACAAGTAAGATACTTCCTGTAGATAAGTGGTAGAAAGAGATAAAGGAGAGTGTGGCAGGAGGTGGGGCTGGTGGAGTGGTCAGGGATAGACCTTTTGAGAAAATGGCAGAAACCTAAGAATCGCCCAGGTTTATATCTAGGGCAGAATATTGAGGCAGGGGAAATGGCAGGTGCAAAGGCCCTGTGGTAGGAAACAGCTCAGTGAGTTTCAGGAACAGAAAGAAGGACAATAGGACAGATTTTATTTTAGGTTCAGCTCTAGTGCTGTTTAGAGTAGAGAGAGCTTCCTAGGATTACTTGCCTAACTCAAATAGCCTTCCTCTCTCGCCTCAGGTCATCTATTGGGGCTGTATTCTTTTTATTTTTGTTTCCGTGGTTATTCATTCCTATTTCCCCCTCATGAGCACCTGTGTTTGCATGCAACAGGGTTCAGTGTAGGCTGTATAGGCACCATTTTTCTAATATCATGTGCTCACAAAGCTTAGGTGACAACACATCTATTTTAGAGCATAGTATAGTGAATATTTTAAGGCTGCTGTTGAGACTTACTGCTCAGAAAAGCAAAAGATTCCTTTGAAAATATTACTGCTTATTGACAATGCACCTAGTCACTGAAAAGCTCTGATGAAGATATGGAAAGAGTTTAATGTTGCTTTCATGTTTGCTAATACAACATCCATTTTACAACCCATGGATCAAGGGGTAATTTTGACTTTCAAGGTTTATTATTTAATAAATATATTTCGTAAGGCTGTAGCTATCACACATAGTGATTCCTCTGATGGATGTGGGCAAAGTCCATTGAAAATCACCTGGAGCTCTTCCTCATCCGTGCATTGAAGAAGATAACCAGATTGGGACCCACATGGCATCAGTTCTTCATCAGAAAAGAACACGAGTGGAGAGGCAGCAATGAATGTGGGTCATGAGGGGAACCTCTTAGTGGAGGAAATCCATCATTTGGGTCCAAAGTTAGGTGTGAAATTTGGAGTCCTCTTCCAAGATGACAAATATGCCAACCTCTTTGAAGCATCAGTAGAAACCCTCAAAGCTGCAAAATGAAGGAAGATTGTTACATGACCAGAAGAGATACTTTTGCAAGGTGTTCATGATGATGTTGATATTATATCACTGCAAGATTAATGTGATTCACATATCTTTGTGTATTGTCATTTTTTGTTTCTGGTAAACTGAAATATGAAGTCAAAGATCAAACATCTGAGCATACTTAATGTATTTTTATAGAACTTTGTAAACAAAATCAGACTTATATATTAGAAGTCTGTGCTTTTTATATCTTGAAAGAAAACATGTATCACACTGTAAAGTATGCAAATTCTATTGTTTTTCTCAGGAATCTGGTTGGGAAATGCAGGCAATAAGGCTATTTTGGGGGGGCAGCAGTAGAGCATTTGTTTCATAAATAATTCTTAGACAATTTCTACAAATATTTGACATTCTGTGAAAGCAAGAAGTAAGCTGAAGACCAATTCTCATGAGAAATATTATGTTTATGTAATAAAGATATATAGCTGTCAGAAAGAAAGGAAGGAAGAAAGAAAGAAAGAAAGAAAGGGAAAATCTCCTGGAAATAATTCACCATTCTAAGTGTCATTAAGAAATTCATGAATCATAAGAGGAGGTCAAAATATTAACATTAACAGGAGTTTAGAAAAAGTTGGTTCCAAACCTCATGAATGACTTCGAGGGGCTTAAGACATTAGTGGAGAAAGTAACTGCTGACATGATTGGTGGAAATAACAAGAGAACTAGAATTAGAAATGGAGCCTGAAGGAGTAACTGAATTGCTGTAATCTCATGATTAAACTTCAATGGTTGAGAAGTTTCTTATGGATGAGCCAAAAAAGTGGTTTCTGAGATGGAGTCTTCTTGTGAAAACTCTATGAACATTGTTGAAATGATAACAAAAGAGTTAGAATATTACTTAAACTTAGTTGATGAAGCAGCAAGTGGCAGAGTTTGAGAGTATTGACTCCAGTTTTGAAAGAGATTCTACTGTTGGTACAATGTTATCAAACAAGCATCACATGCTACAGAAAAATCTTTTGTGAACGGAAGAATCAACCAGTGCAGCAAGTTTCATTGTTCTCTGGGGGTTTGTGTGTGTGTGTGTTTTGTTTTTTAGAGATGAAATCTCACTATGTTGAACTCAAACTTCTAAATCCAAGTGATCCTCCACCTCGGCCTCCCAAGTAGCTAAGATTACAGGCACACAACTGCACTCAGCCATTGTTGTCTTATTTGAAGAAATTGCTACAACCACTTCAACTGTCAGTAATCATCAGCCTGATCAATCAGAAGACATTAACATTGAGTCATGACTTTCAGCAGGAAAAAAAATGACTCATTGAAGGCTCAGACCATCATTAGCATTTTTTGGCAGTAAAGTATTTTTAATTGAAGTATGTACATTTTTCTAGGCATAAGCTATTACAATGAAGCTAACATCACAATGATACCCAAACAAGGTAAAGATCCAAAAAGAAAGAGAACTACAGGCCAATATCCTTGATGAACACAGATGCTAAAATTCTCAACAAGACCCTAGCAGACCAGATCCAACAATACATCTCAAAAAAAATCATCCACTACGACCAAGTGGGCTTCATCCTTGGGATGCAAGGCTGGTTCAACATTCACAAGACCATAAATGTAATTAAATATATAAGCAGATGTAAAAACAAAAAACATATGATTATATCATAAGACATGAAAAAGCTTTTGATAAAATCCAGCACCCCTTCTTGATAAAAACCCTTGAACATCTAGGCATAATTGGAACATACCTTTAAATTGCAAGAGCCATCTACAAGAAACTCAGTCAGCATACTGCTAATCAGAACCATTTGGAAACATTTTCCCTGAAAACTGGAATAAGACAAGGATGTCTACTCTCAACCCTCCTTTTCAACATAGTCTTGCAAGTCCTAGCTAAAGCAATTAGACAAGAGAGGAGATCAGGGGTATCCAAAAAGGAAAAGAGGAAGTCAAGTTATCCCTTTTTGCAAACGACATGATTCCATACCTCAAATACCCAAGAGAATCTGTCAAAAAACTCCTTGCACTGATAAAGGACTTTGGCAAAGTCTCATGGTATAAAATAAATGTGCAAAAGACAGTCGCATTTCTATACACCAACAACGCACACACAGAAACCCAAATAAAAAACACAATCACACTCATTATAGCCACAAAAAAGTGAAATACCTTGGCATGTTCCTAACCAGAGACATGAAAGACCTTTACAGTGAAAATTACAAAACACTGCTCAAAGATGACACAAACATATGGAAAAATATTCCATGTTCATGGAATGGAAGAATCAACATTAAGTGTCCATTCTACCCAAAGCAATCTACAGATTTAATGCAATACCTACTAGATTACCAGCTGTATTCTTCTCAGTCCTGGAAACAACTGTACAGTAATTCATATGGAAACATAAACGACCACAAACAGCCAAAACAATCCTCAGCAAAAAAAGAAAAAGAAAGCAGGAGGTATCACACTCCCAGACTTTAAACTTAATTATAAAGCAACAATAATCAAAACATCCAGTATTGGTACAGGAGCAGGCATATAGACCAATGGAACAGGAGAGAGAGACAGAGATTCCAGAAGCAAAACCTCAATCCTTAACCAATTCACCTTTGACAAAACCTCCGCTAACAACCACTGGGGAGAGGAGAACCTATTCAGTAAATGATGCTGGGAAAACTGGCTGACCGCATGCAGAAGACAAAAACAAGACCTCTATCTACGACCATACACAAAGATCAACTCTAAATGGATCAAAGACCTAAATGTAAAACCTCAAACCATAAGAACCTTAGAAAATGCCGGAGACACTCATATGAAAATTGGAACTGTCAACCAATATCTGATCAAAACCCCAAGTGCCCATGCCATAAGAGATAAGATATACAAGTGGGACCTCATCAAGCTGACAAGCTTCTGCAAAGCCAAAGAAACCCCTCAAGAGAGCAGGGAGACAGCCCACAGACTGGGAAAAAATATTTACCAACTGTATGACTGACAAAGGCCTGACATCTAGGATCTAAAAGGAACTCAAACGCGCTGAAAAGAAAAAACAAACAGCCCCATTACAAAGTAGGCAAAAGATATGAATAGACACTTCTCAAAAGAAGACATATGAGCAGCCAGCAGATATAGATACGTGAAAAAATGTTCAGCCTCAATAGTCATCAAAGAAATGCAAATTAAAACCACACTGAGACACCACCTAACTCTAGTCAGGATGGCCATCATCAATAAAAACAACAGATCCTGGAGAGGATACAGGGAAAGGGGAATACTTCTACTCTGTTGATGAGAGTGTAAACTAGTACAACCTCTGTGAAAAACAGTTTGGCGATTTCTAAAAGGTCTAAAAATCAACGTTCCAACGTTGGATCATATGGTAATTCTATTTTTAGTTGTTTTAAGGAGCTTCCGAACAGTTTTTGCAATCCCCCTACTGGGAATATACCCCGAGGAACTCAAATCACTGTATAAAAAGATACCTGCACACGCATGTTTATTGCAGTATTGTTCACAATAGCAAAAACATGGAACCAACCATGCTGACCATCGAAAGAGGACTGGATAGAAAAAATGTGGTACATGCAACCATAAAGAAGGACAAAATTATGAACTACAAAGCAACTTGGATGGACTTAGAGTTTATAATGCTGAGTGATCTATCACAGAAACAAAGAACTGAGTATCACATGTTCTCACACATAAGTGGACCTTGAACAATTATCATAATACTATAAGAAAAGGATTGGTAGTAGTGGGAAACTGCGGGGAGAGGGGGCAGTAGTGGGATTGGCTGTAGTGGGAATCTGGCAAGGGAAGGAGGCACACGTCATCAATCAGGGTACCTGCATAATGAACATTTGTATAGCTAACCCTCAACTGTACCCCACATCTTTAAAATAAAAAATTTTAAAAATAAATAATAGGCTGGGCACAGTGGCTCACACCTATAATCCTGGCACTTTGGGAGGCCAAGGTGAGAGGATTGCCTGAGCCCACAGGTTTGAGACCAGCCCTGATAACTTGGTGAGGCCTCATCTCTACAATAAATCAGAAAATTAGCTGGGAGTGGTGTAGTGTGCCTGTAGCTCCAGTTACTTGGAAGGCTGAGGCAGAAGTATCACCTGAGTCCAGCAGATCGAGACTGCAGTGGCCGAGAGCTCACCTGAGCCCAGCAGGTGAAGGCTGAGGTGGCCGTAAGTGTGCCACTGAATTCCAGCCTGGGTCGTCAGCATGCCACTGTACTCCAGCCTGTGCAACAGAATGAGACTCTCACTCAAAAATAAATAAGTAAAAATAAGTAAATAAATAGATTTTTAAAACGCTGCTGCATACTTAATAGACTATAGTATAGTGTAAACATAACTCTCATATGCACTAAGAAACCAAAAAAAAGCAGTAAGAGGAAAAAAAATTGTATGACTCAGATTATTACAATATTCACTTTATTGCAGTAGTCTGAAATTGAACCCGCAATATCTCTGAGGTATGTCTATATTTACTATATTCACCACACAGTGAAATAGATCTCAAAAAAACCTTATTTCTTTTAATTGAAGCTTTGTGGCTTTTGACCATCATTTCCTCATTTCCCTTGGCCTCTTGTAACCACCATTCTACTCTCTGCTTCTCTGAGTTGGGTTATTTTAGATTCCACATGTAAATGAGAATATATGGTATTTATCTTTCTGTGCTTGTCTTATTTCACTTAGCATAATGTTCTCCAATTCTGTCCATGTCGTCTTTGTTTAAGGCTGATTAATATCCCTTTGTGTATATATACCACAAGTCATTTATCCAATTCATCTTTTGATGGACACTTGATGTTTTTTCCTAGTGCTGCAATGTACGTGGGAGTGCAGACATCTCTTTGACATATTGATTTCAATGTTTTGAGTAAATATCCAAAAGTGAGACTGTTGGATCATACGGTAATTCTATTTTTAGTTGTTTTAAGGAGCTTCCAAACAGTTTTTCATAATGACCATATAAATTTACATTCATACAAACACTGTACAAGGGTTTCCTTTTTTCCATATCCTTGCCAATACTTATCTTTCATCTTGTAGATAATAGCCATT